ACTGTTTGCTAGGTGACCTATCATGTAGGAGACATGTTTGCTAGGTGACCTATTACTCAGTGGACATGTTTGTAGGTGACCTATATCCAGGGGACATGATTGCTAGGTGAACTATCATGCAGGGGACATGTTTGCTGGTGACCCATCTCCCGAAGACATTTTCTAGGTGACCCATCATCCAAAAGACATGTTTGCTAGGTGACCTATTTATCTGGAAGACATGTTTGCTAGGTGACATATCATTCAGAAGACACATTTTCTATGTGAATTATCATCCAGAAGACAAGTTTGCTAGGTGACTTTTCATCCAACAGACATGCTTGCTAGGTAACCCATCTTCCCGAAGGGCATACTTCCTAGGTGACATATCATCCAAAGATGTTTGCTATGTGACCTAACATCCCGAAGACATGTTTGCTAGTTGACCTATCATCCAGAAGACATGTTTGCTAGGTGACCTATCATCCAAAGGGCGTATCTGCTAGGTGACCTATCATCCAAAGACATGTTTGCTAGGCGACCTATCATCCAGAAAGAATTTGCTGGGTGGCCTATCATCCAGAAGACATGTTTGCTAGGTGACTATCATCCAGAAGACATGTTTGCTAGGTGACCTATCATCCAGAAGACATGTTTGCTAGGTAACCTATCATCCAGAAGACATATTTCCTAGGTGACCCATCATCCAGAAGGGGTGTTTGCTATGTGACCTATCATTCAAAAGACATGTTTGCTAGGTGACCTATCACCCAGAAGACTTTGCTAGGTGACCTATCATCCAGAAGACATGCTTGCTAAGTGACCTATCATCCAGAAGACATGTTTACTAGGTGACCTTTCAAATTTGGGAAGACATGTTTGCCAAAATGACCTATCACCCAGGGGACATGTTTGCTAGGTGACCTATCACCTAGAAGACTGTTTGCTAGGTGACCTATCACCCCGGGGGCTGTTTGCTAGGCGACCTATTACTCAGTGGACATGTTTGCTAGGTGACCTATCATCCAGGGGACATGCTTGCTAGGTGACCTATCACCCAGGGGACATGTTTGCTAGGTGACCCATCACCCCGGGGACATGTTTGCTAGGTGACCCATCACCAGGGGACATGCTTGCTAGGTGACCTATCACCCAGGGGAACATGTTTGCTAGGTGACCTATCACCCCGGGGACATGTTTGCTAGGTGACCTATCACCCAGGGGACATGTTTGCTAGGTGACCTATCACCCAGGGGACATGTTTGCTAGGCGACCTATCACTTATTGGACATGTTTGCTAGGTGATTCACTCTAAAAGGGGTTCACAGAAAGATCCCAGAACCCGACATGTAGATCAACATGAATACTGGGCATTTTAAGCAAAGATACTTCCAAAAAACATTGTGTTTAGGAAAAAATTCATCTTTTGTACTTTAATGCTAATAAAGATGCTTTGGGAGGATGATGCCATTTAAACTAACGAAGTAATGATACAGAGGTTGAGAAACTGGCCTTCCAGCATTCCTTGCCTTCGGCAGGGCAAGAACAGTGAATTAGAAAAACATTCATAATTTTATATTATTATTTTTGCGTGGATGTAGTATGAATTTTAACCCTTAAACTGTCCAAACAAATTTTCGTTCACATGCGTAGTGCTCCAAAAGTAGATCTTCGATTTTTTACATACATATTTTCAATTTTAAAAAAAAAAGTAGATCAAAGTTTTTTTTACACGTTTTCAAATGTAAAAAAAAAAATGAAGATCTATGTTTTTTTACATACTTTCAAATGTTGAAAAAAGTAGATCTACGTTTGACAGTTTAAGGGTTAAGAAAGAGATGATTGTGGATGTCACGAATAAGAAGAAGCTGGATATCCTGGCTCTAAGGGAACAAAGCTGAAAAGGGTTGGACTGTTTCAGTGGCGGAGAATAAATGGGTTAGGTCTGAGGACAACGTTTAACGTCAAATGCTTCTTGCAGTCTACCACAGGATCTCTGTAACCTTCCTCCCATTGCCTTTGGGCATGCTCGCCTGAATACACAATTCATTCTTCTAAACTACAGAATAAACTTCGTTCCATCTCCAGCCTTGGTCTAAATTCTCCTCATGACTGTGTTACTACTTGGGCTTTGTCTCACTCTTCATATGAGCTTGACTTCTTGGTTTTGGCCTTCCTTGCCACTCGCCTACTCCTCGCGCTGGGATTTCCCTGATTAGTCTTTGATTCCTTTATCAATCTCGTCCCGTTAAACTTTCCCGACTTGTAAATTTTCGTGGCGTCTCCTTCGGGTCTTGTTCGTCTGTTTTCTAAGAATCACCACCTCACGCCATTTCACTTGCCTTTTCTCTTAAATCCAAAAGTCATTGTTACTACTTTGGCAAAGGTAATTCGGAGTTATCCCGATCCCCGAGGATTACCTCCGTAAGCTGTGTCTTGCTCTCTGGATCAGTACGTACACTCCCTCGTTTCAACCTCTTAATCGCATCAGAGAAATTTCAACAAGGAAATAGGACTATCTCCGACCTTGTCCTCCCGACTTTGACCTTGTTCAACGGTTTGTGTCATCTGTCCCTCCTTCCCTTTTCTATGGCTTCCAAACTCATTTAAAAATGATTTCCTCTTCGTCTATCTATCCTCTAGGGTTCTGTTCTATTTCTTGTTCTGGGTGGCAAAACCCTCACTCCCTTTTCTTGGGATTTTTCTCCTGCCACCTCCGGTCCTCTCAAGACTTCATTGGAAAGGGTTCGCTCTCTCCAACCGAGAGCTTAGTCTTGAGTGAACCTTTCACCATGTCCTCTTGATGATGTCCCTTTGAGAGAAGGGGCCCTGAAGGGTTTCTACATCTCCCTATACCTATGATGTCTTCTTGCTTTATCCGCCTCTGGTGGTCTATTCCTTTTCTTCCCAAAGGGAAAAAATTATTCTCAAACCTTCGGTGTCGTTTGGGGTTCCTCTCTTCTGTCTTCCTAATTCTTTCATGGAATACTTCGGGGATGTTCTTCTTCTACCTCGTGTGCTTCCTCTGGCTCCGCTATGTGGATGACATCTTTGCTTGTGGCTCATGACTCAGTCTTTCCAACCTTGTCTTGAAGCTTTTAAAACTTGCCCTTCATTAGTTTAAAGCTGAATGGGATCTAATTTCCTTGTTCCTTTCTGATGTCCTGTCCCGTAGATACAGGTTTTTCCTTTTCCATTTACGGAAAAACTATGCACAGTGGCATGTACTTCACTTATTGTTTTACATGAAATTCCTGTCAAGGAAAGTGTTCTTATTCCCTCTTTCCCTGCCCCACACTGTGATCCTAGTTCCCTTTCCCGCAGAAATTTCCACTCTTATAATTGTTTCCATTTGGCTACCCTTCCATTTCATAGACTCTGCCTCTCACGGCTAACGTAATTTTTCTCTCCCAAAATCTCTACTCTGGGAACTTTCTATCCTGCCTTCTACTTTCCCGGGCTTCTAATCTAACAATTCTCTCCGTTTCCCCTTTGACACAGGGTTACCTTCCGCAGATAACACTCTTTGCACTAATCTCGTTTACCTCTCCCTTACAGGTGTTCGGTGGGTTTCCTATTTCTTGCTCCCCCTGTCCTCTTCAATTCTTCAGAGAACTGGTCGACTCTTTCTGACAGACTTAGGGAGACAAAAATAGTGTTGGTTGCGACACTAACAATGTCTTTTCTGTACGGGTTGAGTCATAGCCATCTTGGGTTTCCCCCGCTTCCCCCCCGGGGCCCCTTTTGGGTTTTAAAACATAAACTCCTTTTTAATTTACCATCCGGCCACAAATTACCTTCTTCCCCCTTTAATTTTTTTAAAACTTTACAAAAAAACCCACCATTTTCCCATTTTAAATAGCATTCAACATCATTCGGAATTCTTCTCTCCTCTACACTCTCTCTTCTCAGGTGCATACACGTTACTATAACCATTTCACGATCCAATCTTTATTTTACTCCACATAATCCTTGAAATTTATACATTTGTAGTCCCTCTTTTCTGATAGTCTTATCTTCAAATTATGTACTCTTCTTTATTAACTCTATTGAAACCCTGGACTATCCATTTATCTTCCATTTGAAACTCTCCACCCCTTCAGCTTGGTTTCATTAAAGCCATGGCATCCGTTTCTTCTCATCATACATCCACAATATCTCTTTCTTATTTCATTTGCACAACAATCCCGCACATTCGGGACTTCCCACTTTGACAATTTTCTTCTTCTTTTTAGTAATCTTTACAGGAAAAGGGGTTACTAGCCCATTGTTCCGGCATTTTAGTTGACTTTTACAACACGCATGGCTTACGGAGGAAAGATCTTGTTCCACTTCTCCATGGATATAAAGGAAAAGTAAAAGACAAGAACTATTAAATAAAATCAAAGAAAACCAGAGGGTGTGTATAATGAACGTTGTACATGTATGTGTAGTGTGACCTAAGTGTAAGTAGAAGTAGCAAGACGTACTGTAAATCTTGCATGATTATGAGACAGAAAAAAGACACCAGGAATCCTACCATCATGTAAAACAATTACGGCTTTCGTTTTACACTCACTTGGCAGGACGGTGTACCTCCTGGGGGTTGCTGTCTACCAACCTACTACCTATATATATATATATATATTATATATATTTATATATATATAATATATATATATATATATATATATATATATATTATATATATATATGTAGTGGTTGTAGACAGCACCACCCATATATTTATATATATATTTATTATATATATATATATATATATATATATATATATATATTTATATATATATATATATATTATGTATGTATGTATACTTGTACACGCATGTGTAGAGTGACCTAAGTGCAAGTAGAAGTAGCAAGACATACCTGAAATCTTGCATGTTCATGAGACAGGCAACAATACAAGCAATCCTGCCATCATGTAAAACAATTACAGGTTTCTGTTTCACACTCAGTTGGCAGGACGGTAGTACCTCCCTGGGCAGTTGCTGTCTACCAACCTAACTTAGAAGAGTATATCATCCAATATTAATGTACCATACCTTAAAACCATATTTTGCCATAATTTTTGCAGCAATGGTACTCCCAAGACCAGTAAAATTAGGTCCTTTATTTGCACCAGCTGGAGATGTAGTTCCATCATCTGCCCCCAAGGATGGGGGTGGTGCAATGGCGGCACCTGCCCCTGTTGAATGAAAAAAATATAAATACAGAACAATTTTTTTATATATCTATAGCCTACATACATGTATTATGGTGTATTTATGCATATGAGAGAGAGAGAGAGAGAGAGAAGAGAGAGAGAGAGAGAGAGAGAGGAGAGAGAGAGAGAGAGAGAGAGAGAGAGGAAGAGAGAGAGAGAGAGAGAGAGAGAAAGTGAGAAAGTGAGAAAGTGAGGAAAGTGAGAAAGTGAGGAAAGTGAGAAAGTGAGAAAGTGAGGAAAGTGAGAAGTGAGAAGTGAGGAAAGTGAGAAAGTGAGGAAAGTGAGAAGTGAGGAAGTGAGAAAGTGAGATAGTGAGAAGTGAGTGAGTGAGTGAGTGAGTGAGTGTGTGTGTGAGTGAGTGTGGTGAGTGTGTGTGTGAGTGATAGTGTGTGTGTGTGTGTGTGTGGTGTGTGTGTGTGTGTGTGTGTGTTGTGTGTGTGTGTGTGTGTGTGTGTGTGTGTGTGTGTGTGTGTGTGTGTGTGTGTATCACCTATTGTGGTTGCAGGGGTTGAGACGTGTGTGTGTGCATGCACACATACACACACATGTATCACTGTGCACCTGTACCTTACACAGTACGCCTGTGTCTGTGTATACTCCACTATGTATACTCCACTATGCAGTTGTATCTTACATAGTTCTGTCATATTTTAATAGAAATAGCATAGTGTGTATGCCACTATGCTATCCCTATTAAAGTATGAAATGTTACCCTTTAGTAGTTTTCATATAACAGGAGCACATTCCAAACATACATTTTCTTTTTTTTTTCTTTTAACACACTAATAGTCTCCCACCACAGTAAGGTGACCCAAAAAAGAGAAACACTTTCACCATCACTTACTCAATCACTGTCTTGCCAAAGGCATTCTTGATACTACAGTTCATGTGCCGCTCCAAACTACAAATATCCTCACCCCTCCAGAGTGCAGGCACTGTAGTTTCCACCTCCAGGACTCAAGTCTGGTTAACCAGTTTCCCCTGAATCACTTCATTAAATATTACCTTTCTCATACTCCAACAACACATGTTATATTATCTATATGAACAAACTTTTTTTTTTTAAATCCACAAGATAAAAAAACACCGTTTTACAAGACTGGATGATATCTGATAGTATCCATGGAAAGTCCCTGATTATGCATTATAGCCATAATAAACATTGCTCCTATGCATATACAATGAATATAGTAAACATGAACACATGAGAGTAGATTAAAATAGTATTAAAATATATGACAATGTGAATAAATGAAATTAGAGTCCAGAACATTGGATACATTCTCAGATACAGTTTTTTATGTTAGGTGACACGTAATACAATACTGTAACTTAAAAACTATAGAATAATTATTAATTTAAGTAACAAAGCTCAATACAGATTATTAAAGCAGTAATGCTCATATGGGAAAGCAAATACAAAACATTTAATGATATCTACAAAAAAAAGATTGGGCAAGTGATATGATTTCAGTCGTTAAGCGCAGAATGCTTGCTTTAGCTTCATTTTAAAATAAGACTATTTTTCTTAAGCTATTACATATTTTTGGTCCTTAAATTTGCATAGAATTTCTATGGATATTCCATCAAATATGAGGGATATCAAACAGGCATTTGTATCAAATACGAGGAATATCAAATAGGTATTTGTTTGACAGAACTCGGGCAATTCCTCTACGAATTGCCTGAGTTTTGTCAGTATTATAGTGTAATGTTTTGAACATGTAGATTGAGCAGTAGTATGTACAAACAGCATTTATATTTAGTAGGTTTATGGAATGACAGAGTTTGTGTTTGTGATTGTTTTGAGAGCTACCTTCTGTTAACTTCTAACTGTACTGAGGTGTGTAGCCAAAGTGGGTCCCCAAGCACAGATTCAATGTGTGAAGTACAGTAGTGTGCAAATTAATTGGGACAGGAGTAAATTTCTCGATTATCTCATAGTATGTTTTAGCCTCCAGCTTAATTATTGTAGTTTGGGCTCTTTTCTTTTCAGAAGGGTTTGCTACCGACTTCTGGCAACCATCCAGCTGTGGTGTTACCCTGCGACTCATCAGTGCTACAACAGCTGCTGTTCTGTAAGGCTATTCCTGCAAGCGTGCTCCATGCATGAATGTGGTTTTGCCAAATTCTCCCTTCAATTCGTGATTACTGCTGAAATTCACGAGGGGGTGTTAAACCTAGGAAGCGTGAAAGTATTGTAGCTCTTACAGAAGATGCTGATTTGAATATCAGACAGATCACCGAAAATTTGAACCTAGCAGAGTTGGCTGTTGGTCATATTCTGAAGACAGCTAACAGCACTGGTGATTATGAAGCACAGTGTCAAGGAAGATGCGGAAAAAAAAAACAATGAAAAGGTTATCAAAAGAAATAGTGTGAAGGACCCCAAGAAAACCAGCATAGATCTACAGAGAAACCTGGCTTCAGCTGGCATAAATGTTGATTCTTCCACTGTTTGATGAAGGTTCTTTAAAGATGGCAGAACTGTCAGAAAGCTGGTAAAGAAACAATTACTGACTGCTGCTATGAAAAAAAAAATGGCTGTGGTAGGTACTTGATCATAAGGGATGCATGACATATGAATGGAGAAAAGTTATATTTTCAGATGAGCCACATTCTGAAATACACAAGTACAGATCAGTGGTAATGAGAGGGAGCAAAGGCAAACCTCTTCAGAATGGACACATTCAACAAGTGCCAAAACACCCACCTAAGATGTTGTTTTGGGGTAGTTTTACTACTAAATGCCCTGGACAGCTTGTTATTGTTAACCTTTTGAGCATCAAGACCCCTGCTCACAAACTTGCTCATAGTGTCAAAGAGCCCCCCCCCCCAATTCTTATGAAATGATAATCTTTTCCCGAAGTTAATGAAACCAAAAGTTTAAAATTTGATGGAAAACTTACAGAATTACGCTATTGCGAAGTTAGTGGTCTCGGCAATATTTATGCATCGGTGATTTTGACAACTCTGAGCCCTATTTTCGGCCAATTCCTTTGCTTCACTCAACCAAACTCAAAATTCTTTCACTAGAACTCCTTTTATTCTATTGAGTACAAGAAACTCCCTGTTTACCTATTTCAACTACACAAAAAAAGTGATCAGAATTGCTAATTTGGCCAATTTCACACAAAATTCAGGAAAGGCCAATTTCAAAACAGGGGCCAGAATAAACAATGCAAACATTCCTGGCACTAAAATAACATTTTATCTGTTCATAAGTCACATCTCCAGGCCCTTCTTATACTATGCTTGCTTTTCATTTTGAATTTTCATTCACACAAAAAATAGATGATTTACTGTTATTCAGACTACTGCATAATTGTAATAGTTGTATAAATAATATCAGCGCATTTATGAATGCATATTAGACCCACCAGTTGACATGTATTAGATGCATGACGTAATTTGTTTACTCTTGAACATCGTCAAAAATCTAACATTTCCGCTACTTTGAGCTCAATTTCAAGCCACTTTTATTCAGTAAACCATTCAAAATCACCTTTAATTTTGTAATATATCTTCCATTCTATCAACTGAGACCAAGAAAATGAGAATACAACCATAAATACCATACAAAAATACACCACAAAGTCATTATTTTAAACCAAAAACATGGTCGCAATTTTTTCTCATTATGCACTGCTTACTGCAGGATTTTTTAATACTGCACACACTGACCATGCAGACCCATTCTCTCATATGTGGGCCTCCCAGCTTTCTCCCGCAAGATCTGAAGCTGCTAGAATTTTGGCGTTGTTTTACGTGACCAACAAGAGCTTCAAAGCCATAATTTTATGGGACCAATACCGAAGGGGTTAAGGAAATGATGAACAGTCACAAATACAAGCAATCCTGGTAACTCATTTGCTTGCTATTGTGGACTGTGGATAGAGATTTTCCTGATGGAGAAGGCATTTTCCAGCAGAATCTTGCTCCATGCCACACTTCCCGAAAAATGCTGACATTCTTCAAAGAAAGTTGGATAAACATTCTGAACTGGCCTGGAAAACTCTCCTGACCTAAACCCCAAATTTGAGAATCTATGGGCAATAACTAAATGCACGATCATGAACTAGGACTGTTCAACTGTGGAGAAGCTAGTTGCTGCTGTTATTAAGATATGGTACCACAACGAAGAACTTGCCAAAATGTGCTCAACAATGGTTGATTCTATGCCTAAGTGTGCAGCAATGCTTATAAAAGTAAAGGGTAGTCATATCTCTTCTTAAATCAATTATCTGCCATATCACTGCCATGTATTTTTCAAATAAACATTATTTTCCAAATACAAATGTCTTATTTCATCACTGTCCCAATTAACCCTTTGACTGTCGAAGGGCCAAATCCTGAAGTTGCTTCTGGTGTCGCAAAATATTCGAAAAAAAAAAAAATTATTTTTTCTTATGAAAATGTTAAGATTATTTTTCTGATTGTTTTAGTCCCAAAAAAAAATTTTTCCCATCAGTACTTTACCGAGATATAGAGTCCTGAAGTTTGCTGAAATTGATCTGCTGGCGGCAACAGCGGAGACTGCCGCTCCCCGGTAAACTTTTATTTACTTGTATTCGATGGTTTCTTGTTTTTTCACTATTTTATTTTTTCACATAACTTTTTGTGGCCTGTGAGACCAAATTATTGTGCAATGTTCAAATATACACTCGTTGAATGTAACACAATTATAGCAAAAAACACTCGTATCATTATAATGTTGCTAAAAACTTGTTTACACAAACAAACAATGTAAATAAATGTTTATTACGATTGCTTTATAATTTTTACATATGTACAATCACTGGACACTTTATTAGAAGTGCTGGCAGCTTGTGGAATTCTTTGAAACATGGGTATAAACACAATGGTTTTCTTACACTCCTCACACATTAAACGAGTGTCTCTGCGTTTTTGTTGGCGTTTTGTGGTATGTCCACAGACAAAACACCTCTTCTGAGCATTTTTTCTGGCAGTAGTAGCAGGCAGTGGTATGGGGTAGTGATCACCCGGCCTCAGACGAGAGGACATGTGTTGATAATTTGTGGGCGCTGGTCTATTGCAGGTGTTGTTTCTTGGTACTTGAATATTATTTGTCTGATGACTGACAAACAAAATTCACCATATTTGGGTTTGTTCTTGGTCTTTAACTTATACATATTATAAGCATTCAGCATGGAATGTCAAGAAGATGGAAAAACAGTTTTATGTACCATTATAACTCTTGCGAACACAGTCAGCAAACCCAATCTGCATGTCACATTTGTCCACTAAGCGCATATTGAGGTTGTATCCATCACAGCTGCAGGTTTTACAATAGGGTTTTTTGGTCTCTCTATTCTGCTTGCCAGTCTCTACCATTCGTGTCGGTGAACTGATGTCAGCAGTGTGACATCACGTTTGTCATGCCACCGAAATTTCCATGATGGTCATTGGCAGCAAACACCTGCACTTCACCTCTACGACTGCCAGCTTCGAAACCTAGGCATATGTTTACGACTTTTTACGCACTGTGCCACACACATCTATCATGTTCACTCGCAAGAAATCACTGAGTATAGGGCTTGTGTACAGTTGTCAGTATATAAAATATGCCCCTTACCAAGATATGGCTCCATCATTGTTCTAACCACATCACCAGAGATACCCAGTAACTTCCTGGTATCTTCCATTGTTTACCGCCAGTGTACACAATTATATCCAAACCAGACCAGTTTTGCAATCACACAGAACAAATAACTTTATACCAAAGCGTTTCCTCTTGCTTGGTATATACTGCTTGAATGAGAGTCTTCCTTTGAACAAAATCAAAGACTCGTCAATAACAAGCTTCCTGAAGGGATAAAAATACATACAGCACTTTTGTTTCAGGTACATAAACACACGTCTGATCTTATATAACCTGTCGCTTCTGTCAGGCCTGGTTTTGTCTGAAAAGTGTAACATACGTAACAGTAACACAAATCTATTCACTGGTATAATGTCACTGAAAGCAGGGGTTGAAATCAGGCGGTCTGTCGCCCAGTATGTGCTGACACTATGCTTATTTCACATGTGGCATAAGCATTTATTGTGGCAAAGAACAGATACATCTCTGCCACAGTTGTGTCCTTCCCCTGGTGTAGGCGTGATCTTGGTGACAGAATTAGTGTTTGCCATGGTGTACTCATAGTATGTATTGCTTTCCCTGACAATAATGTCCATCAGGGGTTCATCGAAGAACAACTGAAAGCATTCCAGTTCAGTGGGATTGTTCCCAAGTGTACATGATGGCCGTATTCCACTTTGTCCTTCATCAAAGTCATGGGGATTGGGAACAAACTCGTCATCTTGATGCCAATCCCAGATGCGGTCAGCTGGTGCGTTCTGGATATTGTAATGTCGTTGTGGTTGTGCAGGTTGTGGTTGTGGGTTGTGAGAGTGTGGGGTCGGGCCGAAGCAGGTTGTAGTTGTGCAGAGTCAGCAGCGCGGGCACTAGCGTGGCCCGCTGCTGGTGTCACATGACTCATGGCACCGTCACTATCACCACCACCGCCTGCTGCCTCACTCACATCATTTATACCATCGTAACAAATATCGTCATTCTTCACTATCAGGACGTGGTGTAGGGCCACGGGATGTGCTCCGAGATGTACTCCTTCCTCTTGGAAGAGCATATGGCACACTACCAGACCGCATGCGACGTCGTACATACTGCCGTTTCACTGGGGAATATTCACCCCCACTGTCACAACTAGAAAGTGCTTTCAATAACCTTGAAATCACTATCACTTCACTTGCATGCTCACATCTGAGTCTTGTACACGGGCAAATAGTTTCCTCTTTCGTCCTGGTACAGGTGAATATGAACGAGCCGGCCTAGCTACCAGAGGTGGAAGGTTGTGGGTCATTTTGGGTTTTCATCACTAATTATGTTATCCTGGGTAATTTTCTCGGTCACACCCGCTTCAAAACCATGGAATTCACTTTCACTGACACTATCATCACTGTTTGAGCTATCACTTGGGAACAAAAGACCTCCAATCTGCCGAGGAGTGAGGAACTTCTTACCGCGAGGCATGGTGAAAATGGACTACCAAGATGGCATTCCCACAATGCACCGCTGAGTCCCAGATTTTTTTCACAGGGTGCACACTGACCACTGAGACCCATTCTCTCTCGTGTAGGCCTACCAGCCCTCTCCCGCTCGATTTGAAGCCGCTAGAATTTATGCGTATAGATACGTCAAACACGGTATCTCCCATGACGTACATATACGACCGCGACAGTCAAAGGGTTAATATGTACACCACTGTATGAGTAGACAAGGCAAAGTAATGTTAAAAGTGCAGGTTGTGGAACATAACACCAATCATTTCTTTACCTCTTCGTGGTCGCTCCTCTTCCTCCTCTTCCTCCTCTTCTGGTTCTCTCAGACGTGCAAAGCCTGTTGCCTCTTCACTACTTCCCCTAAAACACACGAAAATATGTAAATAGTTATAATTTAAATAAGACATCATTAAAATAAAGGCAACTGGGGAAAGTATCCCAGGTCCCCTCTCTCACAACACCTTAGGTAAAATTTTTATGAAACATTGTACATCATTGTAATTTTAAATACAGTGGAACCTCAAATTTCGAACTTAATCCGTTCCAGGAGCAAGTTCTAAATTCAAAAAGTCTGAAATTCGAAGCAATATTTCCCATAAGAAATAATGGAAATACAATTAATCCATTCCAGAAACCCAAAAATATTCACAAAAAAAATACATTTTAAAGAGATTAATTACAGTTTTACATACACACAACAAATGCTATAGTCTTTAATTATGTATAGTAATATAAAATAACATTTTTACTTACCTTTATTGAAGATTGGTGATGGCATCTGGAAGATAGGGAGGAGGAGAGAGGGAGTTGGGGTTATTGTTTGGAAGGAGAATCCCTCTCCATGAGGACTTCCAGTATCAAAGCCCTCTCTGGGGTTGCTTCCCTTCTCTGTATTTTAATGTCACTAGGACCAGCTTGAGAGTCATTGGACCCCAGTCTCACAAAATAACTGTCTACAGTCGTCTGTTTCTGTCTCACAAAATAACTATCCACAGTCATCTGTTTCTGTCTCACAAAATAACTGTCCACAATCGTCTGTTTGTCTCACAAAATACTAACTCCACAGTCGTCTGTTTCTGTCTCACAAAATAACTGTCTACAGTCGTCTGTTTCTGTCTCACAAAATAACTGTCCACAGTCGTCTGTTTCTGTCTCACAAAATAACTGTCCACAGTCCTCTGTACATCCTGGCAAGCTCAACAAGTCTCACTCCAATCTCATACTTCTGTATTATTTCCTTCTTCACATCTATGGTGTTTCTCACTTTCTTTACCACAGGGGTACCGCTAGCAAGTTTCTTTGGGCCCATGGCAGCTTATTTCACAGCCCTACAAGCACTAAACACAATTAAATAATCGTAAAATGTGTGAATGAAATCGCAGGTTAGTGTTCACTCAAGCATAAACAAAGCTAGACTGCTCACGGCGCCTGCACGGGGACGCGGAGAGAGCGGGCCAGCAGAAAGGTCCCATACCCGGCGGTCCGAAAATAGGGGCGCGTTCGATAATAGGGACACAGTTTGTCTAAAAAAATGGTCTTATTTTCAAAACGTTCGATATGTGATATTTTCGATTATTGAGGTTCCACTGTATGTAAGTATGTCTCTCCACCTCTCACTCTCTCCTTCACTCCCTCCCCTCCACCCCAATCCCCTACTACTTTCTCTAACTTTTGCTTCTTCTCACCTTAACTTTTCCTTTACCACTTGGAAAATATCTCTGCTATGTGACCTATCATCCAGAAGACATGTTTGCTATGTGACCTTTCATCCAGGAGACATGTTTGCTAGGTGACATATCATCCAGATGACATGTTTGCTAGGTGACCTATCATCCAGAAGACATCATTGCTAGGCAACCTATTGTCCAGAAGACATGTTTTCTAGGTGACCTATCATCCAGAAGACATGTTTGCTAGGTGACCTATCATCAAGAAGACATGTTTGTTTGGTGACCTATCATCCAGAAGACATATTTCCTAGGTGACCTATCATCCAGAAGACATATTTCCTAGGTGACCTATCGTCCAGAAGATGTTTGCTATGTGACCTATCATTCAAAATACACGTTTGCTATGTGACCTAACATCCAGAAGACATATCTGCTAGGTAACCTATCATCCAAAAGACATGTTTGATAGGTGAGCTATCATCCAAAAGACATATTTGCTAGGTGACCTATCATCCAGAAGACATGTTTGCTAGGTGACATATCATCCAAAAGACATGTTTGCTCAGTGACCTATCATCCAGAAGACATGTTTGATAGGTGACATATTAACCAGAAGATATATTTGCTCGGTGACCTATCATCCAGGAGACATATTTGGTATTTGACCTATCATCCAGGAGACATATTTGCTAGGTGACCTATCATCCAGAAGACATGTTTGATCAGTGACCTATCATCCAGAAAACATATTTGCTAGGTGGCCTCTCATCCAGAAGACCTGTTTACTAGGTGACTTTTCATCCAGAAGACATGTTTGCTAGTTGACCTATCATCTGGAAGACATGTTTGCTGGATGAGCTTTTATCCAAAAGACATGTCTGCTAGGTAACCTATCATCTAGTATTGTTTGCTAGGTGACCTTCTATCCGGAAGACATGTTTGCTAGGTGACCTATCATCCAGGGGACATGTTTGCCAAGTGACCTATCACCCAGGGGACATGTTTGTCAGCATAGTTGCTGATCCCCTACATGTGTTGTATAGCTTGTCTGTGTTTCATAGTACCATCCATATGTTTTACACACATGACCCCTTTCCTGGGCCTAGTGACTGTTTGTATGATGTCACAGGATGCGGCATGAGTGCGTGGGACGCGTTACCTCGGTCTCAGTCCACGCATAGGTCTACCAGGCAACACACGGCAGGTTGGGCTCCCTTTTCTCACACGCTGCAATATAGTGTTACCATCCAACAAGTGTGTTTATCTTCAACTTTCGTTATCTCCTTCGAACCCCACGACAAGTTAGCTAGGTGACCTATCACCTAGGGGACATGTTAGCTAGGTGACCTATCACCTAGGGGACATGTTTGCTAGGTGACCTATCACCCAGGGGACATGTTTGCTAGGTGACCTATCACTCAGTGGACATGTTTGCTAGGTGACCTATCACCCATGGAACATGATTGCTAGGTGAACTATCATGCAGGGGACATGTTTGCTAGGTGACCTATCATCCAAAAGACATTTTCTAGGTGACCCATCATCCAAAAGACATGTTTGCTAGGTGACCTATCATCTGGAAGACATGTTTGCTAGGTGACCTATCATTCAGAAGACACATTTGCTATGTGAATTATCATCCAGAAGACAAGTTTGTTAGGTGACTTTTCATCCAACAGACATGCTTGCTAGGTAACCTATCATCCAGAAGACATACTTCCTAGGTGACATATCATCCAAAAGATGTTTGCTATGTGACCTAACATCCAGAAGACATGTTTGCTAGTTGACCTATCATCCAGAAGACATGTTTGCTAGGTGACCTATCATCCAAAAGACGTATCTGCTAGGTGACCTATCATCCAAAAGACATGTTTGCTAGGCGACCTATCATCCAGAAGACACATTTGCTGGGTGACCTATCATCCAGAAGACATGTTTGCTAGGTGATCTATCATCCAGAAGACATGTTTGCTAGGTGACCTATCATCCAGAAGACATGTTTGCTAGGTAACCTATCATCCAGAAGACATATTTCCTAGGTGACCTATCATCCAGAAGGCATGTTTGCTATGTGACCTATCATTCAAAAGACATGTTTGCTAGGTGACCTATCACCCAGAAGACTTTGCTAGGTGACCTATCATCCAGAAGACATGCTTGCTAAGTGACCTATCATCCAGAAGACATGTTTACTAGGTGACCTATCATCTGAAGACATGTTTGGTAGGTGACATATCATCCAGAAGACATGTTTGCTAGGTGACATATTAACCAGAAGACATATTTACTCGGTGACCTATCATCCAGGAGACATATTTGCTAGGTGACCTATCATCCAGAAGACATTTGCTAGGTGACCTATCATCCAGAAGACATGCTTGCTAGGTGACTTTTCATCCAGAAGACATGTTTGCTAGGTGACTTTTCATCCAAAAGACATGTCTGCTGGGTGACCTATCATCTGGAAGACATGTTTGCTATTTGAGCTTTTATCCAAAAGACATGTTTGCTAGGTGACCTATCATCTAGTCATGTTTGCTAGGTGACCTTTTATCTGGAAGACATGTTTGCCAAGTGACCTATCACCCAGGGGACATGTTTGCTAGGTGACCTATCATGTAGGAGACATGTTTGCTAGGTGACCTATCATCCAGGGGACATGTTTGCTAGGTGACCTATCATCAAGTCGACATGTCTGCAAAGTGACCTTTCATCCGGAAGACATGTTTGCCAAGTGACCTATCACCCAGGGAACATGTTTGCTAGGTGACCTATCATGTAGGAGACATGTTTGCTAGGTGACCTATTACTCAGTGGACATGTTTGCTAGGTGACCTATCATCCAGGGGACATGATTGCTAGGTGAACTATCATGCAGGGGACATGTTTGCTAGGTGACCTATCATCCAGAAGACATTTTCTAGGTGACCCATCATCCAAAAGACATGTTTGCTAGGTGACCTATCATCTGGAAGACATGTTTGCTAGGTGACATATCATTCAGAAGACACATTTGCTATGTGAATTATCATCCAGAAGACAAGTTTGCTAGGTGACTTTTCATCCAACAGACATGCTTGCTAGGTAACCTATCATCCAGAAGACATACTTCCTAGGTGACATATCATCCAAAAGATGTTTGCTATGTGACCTAACATCCAGAAGACATGTTTGCTAGTTGACCTATCATCCAGAAGACATGTTTGCTAGGTGACCTATCATCCAAAAGACGTATCTGCTAGGTGACCTATCATCCAAAAGACATGTTTGCTAGGCGACCTATCATCCAGAAGACATTTGCTGGGTGGCCTATCATCCAGAAGACATGTTTGCTAGGTGACCTATCATCCAGAAGACATGTTTGCTAGGTGACCTATCATCCAGAAGACATGTTTGCTAGGTAACCTATCATCCAGAAGACATATTTCCTAGGTGACCTATCATCCAGAAGGCATGTTTGCTATGTGACCTATCATTCAAAAGACATGTTTGCTAGGTGACCTATCACCCAGAAGACTTTGCTAGGTGACCTATCATCCAGAAGACATGCTTGCTAAGTGACCTATCATCCAGAAGACATGTTTACTAGGTGACCTTTCATCTGGAAGACATGTTTGCCAAGTGACCTATCACCCAGGGGACATGTTTGCTAGGTGACCTATCACCTAGAAGACATGTTTGCTAGGT